CAGAGTTATTTAAACGGTTTTGCGAAATTTCTGTCAGATCCCGCTGGCGGGACCACCGACCCCAAGGGGTTAAGAAATTCAAGTTCTAATGAGTTTGAGAACTGAGGTACCACCATATCTTTTTTTTGATAAAACCTATATCTGCCAGCAATAGACCATTTCACTTTCAAAACTCCAGCAACTTGTCTCCCCAGTTCCCAAAAGTATTGTTCAAAGAAGAGGTGATGCAACTTTGTTGAAAAGTGTTGCTAACATTAAATTCTGGTGACTGTACAGTTACCATCAGCTACATCCTCCCCTGCCAGCCCTGTACATATCCCAATGTTAATCAATACTGTACAGTCAAGTAAATCAAATTACCTATATCCCATTATATATTTGGTCCATTTTGCTTAATTAATTGTAGCACGTTTTTACAATGTATTACAATGTTACCTGTCATAATCCCCTTCCTTCACAGGCAAACAACCTGGTTTTCTACACAGCTGTCAAGCATTTCTGGGACAGCTGGGGAGCAACTCTGCTGAATGAAAAGCAAACGACTGTCCTCCCTCACATCATCACTTCCAGTATAGAGCATGACTCTGTGAAGATCACTGCTGACAGCCTGCTGAAGGAGGGTAAAGCAGGTATGACCATCACTATCTTTAGTAACGACTTTGAGAATACCTCTTCTAAATGGTAGCACATTATAGATCTCAAATAGTTGTTTTAAAGGAAATGCCACAAATTGATTTGAATGTAAGCAGACAATAGCACTGTAATATAAAAATATATAATACATAATTTTTGAGCTTGGGTTTTCTTCTGGTACTCCTTTTTTTTTCACATAGTTGCCACCTCAAAATTGTCTGTTTTTTGGATGTGCCCTGCAATTGTGGCATTGAGTGATCAGAGACGAAGCAGACCCCGTAATGCAGGAGAATGTTTTATTGTTAATTAAGCTGGGTGCATCAAAATCCGAAGGGGCAAGACAGGCGGATGGTCGGGTTGGTCCCGGGAGGTCAGAAGCCGGGTTGGTCAATCCTACAAACAAAGACAAGACAAGGGGACGATGCGACAGGAAGGTGGATGAAGGCAAGCCAGGACGGCAGGGCAGGGCAGGATCGGGCAGGCAGGCAGGGATGATCTGGGAAGCAGGGCAGGCACGACAGCAGGATACGACGAGGCAGGCAGGGCAGGAGGGTTAGACAAAAGACAGAAAAGCGCTCGATAAGTGTCATGGGTATTGCAACAATACTCACAACCTTTGGAGCTTGCTTTGGGGTTAAGTAGCTTGGTTGGATTGCAATGATTGCCTGTTGCTGTGCGACCCCGCCCCTGTAGGCGTGACAGCAATGGTCTGGCATCCCATCCAAGGTGTACCCCAGGCTTATGTCCTTCAGAGTTGTACACAATCAATAAATTGAGAATGGCTCTGAAATTCTAATTGTATCCCCCAGACAAGAAAGACATATGGTTTTGGGACCTGTCTGCCACCGCTGCAGGTACTTTCTTGTTAAACAAACAACAAGTCCCAAACTTTAACTTTTTAAAAGAAAGAAAGAAAAGCAGACGGAATTTAAACAAGTAGAGACATGCCCGAGTGAAACACTGTCAAGATAAAACATCGTATTTTAAGCACAAATGACACAAGTCCCAAACTTTTAACTTTTAAACAAACGAAACAAGCACAAAAGAGCAAATGCGAAACAAGCACAAACATTTTAAACCTATTACATTTAACCAACGTGTTTAAAGAAGAACAAACTTTTAGCGATATTTACCAGTGTTAAGTTGAAGAAAACATTTAACCAGCAAACATTTTAGCCCCGCAGCTCGACCGTGTGCTGCCGGCCTGTTTAAAACTTCCGCGTGAAATGTTCGATAGCTGGGGGAAGGGGAGGGGCATAAACACGTTAAAAATGGCGACGGCAGAACCAATGGACATATGTCTGCGTGGGTTCGAACCCCACCCCAGGTAAACCCTTTTCTGGGCAGTAGTGCCTAGCTGCTGGTAATCCTTGTTAAAATGAGCGCATGCTCTCTCTCTCTCGCTCTCCACGTAGAGACACTTAAATAGCAGCGTCGCTGTCAAATCGGTGGCAAAAATGGCGACCGACGGACAAATTGTTTCCGATATCATACAGACAGAGCTTGCAACGAGTTTGACGACGACACCTACCCGTAACTTGGTACTGCTAAACCCGACTTAGGCTCCACGCAAGCCGCCGAGACAGCGCAAGCACGGAGCACTGTGCAGCATATTCTCGCATTAAGAATGTATCTGTATAAAACTGGAGAAAAAATTTTGAACAAAGTGTGGTCGGCCCACTTCTGGTGATGACGACCAATGAGATGAGAGAAGACCATGTTGAAAACGTATTAAAACCCCGCCATCCTGTGAGCAAGCACTCACGACGAGACACATCTCCCAGCAAGCAATAGCGAGCGAACTGACATCTCCTGAAGCCGCCTTACTGGAGCCTGCACCGCCTTCTGGCCTGCGATTCCCATCATGGCCTCGGGCATCAACTTTTGAACTGCGACTGGACACCCCGCCACCGCTTCCTCAGATCTTGCAGCAGTGGCCCCTGCCGCCACCAACTCCTTCTAGCCCGACCTGGGCGGTGTGGCCGGGATCACAACAGCAACCTCCGCAGGAGACCTCCAACCTAATGGACACATCGAGGCCCCCTTTGCCGACGATGGATGAGCTCAGCGATCGTTTTGCAGGACTGTCATTATCTGAAGATGCTGTGGATGGGAGCATCATCGACGCTGCCATGAAGATAATCAAAGGGTCACTGGCCTTGTATGCTGGATCTGATGATCAAAGATGACTTGAAGGCGAACTGTATCGCTGTTCTGTGAAT